AACGTGATGTGTGCTTCACTGTTGCAGAATTAATAGAGTTACATGGTAAATTAAAGAATTTGAAAACAATGACATTCTTATTCAAGCTATATTTGTACAATTGTTCGCAAACTAGGTGTTAAGTGTTATGGCTATGTTTTTTTTAATGAAGAAGACGCTACAAACCTTGTTTGAAATTAAGAAAATAACTATAATTTTGACAAACTTTCTCAACGTTGTCTTTGACGTTACAATGTTGGTTAACCGTGCTCCGTGGTAACAAAACATCTTAGTTTAAATTTTGGCTAACATGAGTTCTGTTTAATCAAATGGAATGAAACTTCACATTTCAACAAAATAAATGTTTATGTTTACGAAAATGTGTTAATCTATAATCTTGTAATAATTACATGACGATGAGAAGCATTGTCTACGTAGTTTTTGAATGACCCTCGTATAATCAACTTTTTAAAAATTTTATTGACTTGCATCGGGTCGCCTGCGTGGTCAACTGGAAAGAGCGCCTGCTCTAGAGTCGCGAAGTAAGGAGACACTCCTTACGTCGCGGGTTCGAATCCCACTTTGGGAATAGAGACAGGTCCTTCGGATGAGAACCGCTTTGGAACCGAGGTCCCGTGTCGCAGTAGGTGCTAGAACGAAAAAGATCCCTCACTACTCAATGGCCCTGGGTGCCCAGAATAGGTCAAAATTTGTAGCTCTCAACCGGCAAGTGGTGGCGTCTCCATATGAGTGAAAAATTCTCGAGAGGGACGTTAAACAATGAACAAACAAACAAACGTGCATCTGAATTTAAAAAATTTCATGATTTGCAAAATGTAAAATAAACTACCTTGAGTTTTAAAGATCTTGTGTCTTAGATTAATTTAAGGGCAGTTAAATCACATGACGTTTTTCCAAAATGTCATGTTAATTTGAAAAAGAAACCAAACAATTTAGTTTAGTTTAAAAATGTTGTATTCCCTTCTATTTTTAAATTCTTTTCAACGTTTATTGTATGTCTTTATTAATTTATATTCCAGGTGAAGAAATGGCTTTTGGTCCTGTTATGGATGCTGATAAACATCTTCAAAGGATTGTCGAACACTTACATCGTGGGAGGAAATCTTTCACATCGGTTTTGTATCCTCCGCGTGCGCTCTGCTACATCAGTCGCAATGACCCAACAGATAATAAGACGGAATATATTATAAAGGTCCTGGTTTCTCAAGATGGGAAGACCAACTGCACACATCTTCGTGTCGACAGTTATGATGATTATGATCGGCTTGTGCGAGAGTCAAAGGATAAGGCTGTCATGGATGCCATCAATCCAGACCAAGTATAAGACTGGACTTATCCTTGTTAAATCAGAAGGAAACTATATGTCCTTCTAAAGTTACAGAATCAAGTACATTTTGTATCTCTTGAAGAAATTAAAAAAAAGTTTACCTAAAGCTTTCAGTTTTCTTTTCAATAAGATAAAAATAAAATGTAAAGGAGTAAATCTGACCTCCTTTAAGGATATCCGATTCTCAGCCAGGAAGAATAACTCCAAAAATTAATATTCAATTTGAAATGCATCAAAATGAAGCTTGAAAATGAAATTTTTTCATGCAACAATTTTCATTTTATTCATCTTTATAAGATTGAAGGTTTCTCGAAGTCTTAGAAAAGGTTGAACAAAAGTTTACATTTGTACCCTTTAAAAGGAAAAAAAAATAATTGTTTTAGATAAATAAGATTTTCTTGAATCCAGCCTTAGATTCCAATGCTTATTAGCATGATATGAAATAATAGAAGTGATCCGTGGTGTCCTGCAATAATAGCAAAAGCCTTTTACACTACGTATTATAGAATACATGACGGAAATAGAAAACAAAAAATACAAAATAAGTATAAAAATCATGACAATTACTCTGAATGCCTGGATACCTATCGTTTTTAACCTAAAAAATATATTTATGATCAATTTGCAATTAAAAAAAGCATTGCTGATATTCCAATTCACTTTTTTTTAAAAAAATATTGGAGATCTGACAATTTTCTCAATATAATATGATTAACTCAAATTATTTAATATGGGGGACCTTACTCAGAAAGATTTCCATACATTAATGTAGCTGTTAGACACTTGACATTAATGATACCTATTAGTACACATTAACAATTCTTTGGAGACAGCTAGTTGAGAATATAGATATAATATTTACAATTGACAAGGAATGCAAGAGTTTAATGAATACACTCCAGTTCAGTTGATGTCATCTCATCTGATATTTTGGCAGCATTCAATCTTTTTCTGTTTTGTGTATAGAATTTATAAGAATTTAATTTACAATTAATTTAACGTTCATAAATAGTGATTGTATTCATAGGCACTTCACAATTTTTATTATGATATTACTTACATGTATACATTTTTATTCAATGATAGTCAGGATCATTAAAATTTAATTTCCACCACTTTTGATTTGAACTGGGTTTCGCTCCCGCACGTGAAAGATGGCTTCACCACTACTGTTCCGCACGCCGGGAAATTACGTTCATGATTCTGCAAAACTAAGAAAGTTTACACAAGTTTATCATCTCATTAAAAAGGACACTTTACTTTGTAAAAATGTCCGATTTGAAGAGGAAAAATCAGGAATTATTTTGCTTCAGCCATGTATTGACGTGACCTTTGCTTTATTTAAATTGAGGTCTTGTGTTTTTTAGGGAAGATTCCCCTTTTTCTTTAGATACATCACAGAAAAATATAATGGTTATATTTTACACCCATCACATATCTCAAAATCAATTTTCTTCTAGACAGAGACTGTGGGACTTTGAGACCAGTACTTCGAACAAGAATGTAGAAACCGAGGTCCCGTGTGGCAGTAGTGCTGCCAAATAGATCCCCTGCTTTATGGCCTTGAGTGCTGAGTATAGGACATTTGCAGCTCTCAAGCCAGTTTTGGTGTTTCCATATGACTGAAAATATCCTCGAGAAGAACGTTAATCAGTATCATTAAATCAATTTAAACACTAGATTGTTACACTTGTTTTCGAAAAGATGAGGAGGTGTGTCTCCCAATATTCATTCATTTTAATATTGAATCACCATACAGTTGATGGTTTATTTCGAGGTGACAAACGCTACTGCTTGCACTAGCAGATTTTCTAGTTGTTCTTTCTTTTTGTTTTGTGTTAGCTTTTCTGAAGGGAACTTATTATCTATAGAAGGATCGGGTTCTGACGTCATTTTGTTTACTTATATCTTATATCAAAGGAAATCATTCGAATATTAATGTTAAGTTTTATGCATTTGTATTTCTCGTTTTACAATCGCAATCTTGGAAAAAAATTGGATATACATTAAAAAATAAATCATTAAAAAAAGATATCACAAATATGTATTGTTCATCAAATAATTATGAAACAAACGTATATGAAATCATATACATTTCGAATAAGGTACCATACAGTAAGTCATTTTAGTAAGTGAAAGAAACGTCAGTAAGAATTAGTAGAGAAGAATATATTCAAAATCATATAATTTGTACATAAAACAGTCGATGTGAAGATTGAAAATATCTTACTACACATAAAAATAAGAATTTGCTAACCTTTTTATTAGATCGATAATAATCATCTTTAAGTATGTGATGCAATACCATACCTTGAGCCATGTTTAACGAATATTTTAATTGTAGTGAATATTACTTGTTTATTTATTTGGTTTATATATACAAAACTTAAAAAGAAATTGGTGTGTATTAAAACTTAATTAGGAAATGTGAATCTGTGCTAGAGAAATCCATATTAAAGGTTGTTCAAGTATTATCAAGCAGATGTAACACCACTACAATTGATAAAACAGTAATACTTTGGTGTTTATTGGAAACGGAAAACTTGTAACACTTGATTAGAGAAATAACTGTTATGTTTGAGGATGTCATTAAAAGAGGTTCTTAGTTTTGTAAGAGAAAATGTACGCGTGACAATCATGTAATTGACTGATACCATTCTTAAATACTTATTGCGTACATCTACCAGACAATAATCTGTATTAAAAGTTGATGTAGAGAAGTCATAAGAAAGAGGTTTTACAAACAATATAATATCACTGACTGTTATTTGCTACAAGTTAAAGTCGCGGTGAGGAAGAGTTATATACAAAATCTTGTTTCCAGCACCAAAGGAATTGCTCTTGAATATTGGTCGATTCTAAACCCGATTTTTTTAATAACAAAACACCGGATGGATCTCGATTTTAAGTCATAATTAGTTTGGGGTATTTTGGAGGGAGGGGATTTATTAGATAATTTTGGAAAAAATAATTTGAATATATGGGTAATTTGTCACGTTTATGATTTTTATTTTATTTACCCTTAAGGTCATTGGCAACGCAGGGATTCCGAAAAAAAAAGGTTTAGACATAGGTTTTTTTCACTTATGAATACAGTCATTGAGAGTGATCTCCTGAATAGAATTCTCTAGGCTGAAAACAAATAAAGCATATGTTACAGACTGAGAAGTAAGCAAAAGCACCTGTGGATATTTTCGACTCTACAGTAACAAGCTAATTCAGAGAATTCGTGTCCCCCGCTTAGGGAAATGGTAAACCATGTGCAGTTGGGGGAAGGGGGGGGGGGGGAGTCGGATCCCCCTGACTGAATTTGTAGATTTATAAAATGTTATAAGATTCTCCAGTTCATATTTCTATGTGATATATTATGTCAGTATAGTTTTATCACTCATCATTTTAAATGGAGCTCTACTTCTAAAGGAGATCAAAATACTGAAGTAGTCCGAATATGGCCAAAACCATCCAACCCTCTGAACAGCAAGTAGCTTATATGTACTGCTTTTGTTAAGAATTTGGGCTTTTCCTTTTTTTTCTTTTCTTTTACATATGTGGCATGAGTAATTACTCTAAACGTTCATTTCATAATTCCTATATACATGTAATTGTGTGAGTTTTTCGATAAAATCAAAGAATTCAGATTGAAATTACGGGGGAACAGTAATTTTTCCTCACTTTTTTATTCATTTGAGACAAAATTCCAACTAAACACACTTTTCAAGTGCGATATCAGACGTTTGATTTCCTTATTTTCATTTCAGTAAACATGAGAGAATAATTTTGTCCTCTCCAGTGCTCCCAGTTTACGCCTCCACCATACCAGGAGTGCCAGCCTTTCTTATACAGACCGTTCAAGTTTGAATTGTGGCATCCATGGTACCACCAACCGGCCTTAAACTGCATTCCACAGTTTCCTTTATTATCCCGATCCTTTGTTACAAACTTTTTATTATTATGGTTAGTTAAAGAGTCCCCTGAAAAGAAACATTTCTGACATTAAAATAATGAAAAACATTTCATGAGATAGAAGGTATCAATTTATTATAAGACAAAAATATTATTCATTACCAGCATTTCCACTAAAACCTGAGATGTTTAACACATATCCAGATTTTTCGTTTCCAACCTTAAAGGATTTATAGATTGCATAACGGGAATTTTTTGAAAAGTCCACCAATTCTATTCGCAACATGTAATTTCCAGATTCTGTAATTGCGTGAATTTTCTCATTTCCTACAATAAGAAAAATGAATGTTAAGAAAAATTAATTTTGGTTGTTAAATAAACGATTAAAGACATTCGACTAGTCATTTACAATTATAGATTTAAGTTGAGGAAAAGGGAGTTTACGTTTCTCGCTCTGTTACATTAGTTTTGTAACATATACATGCAATGTCTATTTTTGTAGAACTTAAATGGGTAAGCAGATAGTCAATATGTGTAATTTCATTCTTAGATACGTTACACGGATAACCAAAATGGTCGTCGTAATCAAACACTTTTTATGGTTTTTAAACAATTATCTTATCTAAATACATAAGCTGTCTTTTATTGATCAATGTCTTACAATAAACCAATCTGGTTACTTAACCTGTTCGATAGAATAAAAGTAAGCAGATATAACCCGAAAACGAAGTAAGATACATCTGTGTAAAGGCTCTTATATTGTATATGGTCAAAAATCACTTCTTGGACAAAAAAGTCTGGATTGTTTTTTGACTGTATTTCTAAGCGAATTAAATCCAGTATACCTAGCCAAAACTCCTTTGAAAGGTTTCCAAATCCGTTTTTGTAGTCATCCCACATTCGGTAGAAATTTTCAGACCCATCCTGCCTTCATTGTATAACCTAGAGTGAAGGAGAAAAGGTTAACTCTACTTTTTGTCTTCATTTTCATCACATTCATTTCATTGTTATCACACAGATAACACAGCCTTAATAAAAAAAAATTAAAAAGATATATGATTAACCAAATTAATAATAAAAAAAAAGACATGTTATTTTTTAATATTTCTAAATTCTAACTTCTTTAATATTCATTTCATATAAGTATATCTATTGCTATTCAAAAGTCATAGAAATATAAATTACTGTCCATCCTCCACCGTCTGTTTTCTGATCACAGAAAACCTTGATTCCAGTTTCTTTATTTGGGTAGATTGTGTACACTTTACTTTCTTTGTGACCTCTTAACAACAAGTCCTGACAATCTTTTGGATAAAATGCACTATCCTTTCCTGTGCTCAAAATTGTTATATTTCTTTAATACAACAGGTAATCAAAGTGAAGTAATAATACACCATATGAAAGTAGCTTAATTAGTCCTACCTTTACATTTCTGTAATAAATTACGCATTGATTTCAATTCCTGCTTTATTTCTCTTACGTCTTCTTTTGAAGCCCAATCCGTGTAATTTTCTATTCCTTTAATCACTTCTGTTTCAGTTTTGTTGCAACAAGCTTGTTGAAGTTTAACAAGTTGTGAGGCAAGAATCAAAAGTGTTCGAAGGGAACTCGTTTCGGTCAAACATTGATCTGTTGTTTGAATTTTGGTTTTATCTTTTGTAGTTGCAGTTATAGTAGGCACCAAGAACAGAGCAAATACATGTAGTACAAAATACATTGTCTCTTTTTGGAGCAGTGCACTAAATGTAAATTATTCAAACAACGTGTAAGATTCATCTCAATTTATTCAAAGCAAATATTATTTTTTGCTAGATCCTCGAAAGATATTTCTTTGTAAAGAAAAATTAGTGAAAGGCAAATTTAAAAAATGACTGGGGACATAATATCAACCTGCTCTAAAAATCCGGGCAGTGTGAATATTTTTTTATGATGCAGCATTATGTTTTTCTCCCTGATAAATACATATGGATGTCAGCGGATGCCAAAGTCATCAGGGGATGTTTTTTCCTCCTAACCTCCTAGGCTTCTATTTCGAACCTTTGAAAGGTCTTTGTTTACATCCTGTTCATAGATTGTGTTTGTTTTGTGTGAAGATGCATTGTTTGATGCGAGATCTATCACTGTTCGTTATCTTTATCCTTTTCAATATAACTATAGTTCGGTCAGTATGGGGTAAGTCGAGGTTCGGGGAGTCCTGAGTGCGAATCTCGGCCGAGACTGACCTAAGTCCAAAAATGATAGGTAACGACTGTTTTTTTAGCTCACCTGAGCCGAAGGCTCAAGTGACTTTTTCTGATCACATTTTGTCCGGCGTCCGCCTGTCCGTGTTTACGAAAGTGCATTTATTGGGTATTTTTCATGCCAAGATTGTACTTATTGGGTACTTTTTGCTTATTGGGTATACCCAATAAGAAGTGTCGTTGAATATGCTTAAAACACCCTAATTGGGTATTTGCAGGTTAGTACCCAACAAAACTTGGACACGACGATTTGTCCAAAAAAGTGTCCAAAAAAGTTGCTTTCACGGACGCACCGTGTTTTGTTGTTTCAGTTTAACATTTAACATTAACATTTAACATTAACTCTAAATTCTCGAGAGTTCCGAAAATCAACTTCCGTTGATCCTGATCATAACAATGTTTGTTTTCATGGAAAAAAATATGGCGACTAAGAAACACTTAATGTCAACAAGATTTTCTGATTGACAAGAGAAAAGGTAAGTTTATTCGATTAATATTTATCTATTGCTGGGTTCTTGTTTAAGGAAAATAGATTTTAATGTGATTTTGAAAACAATTGTGCACAAAATTAAAACAGATATATCGGAACAATTAATCCTAAGTTGCACTTGTTTGTATTTTGAATTTTCTCTGTCTTTTTAACTCTCTTGAGGGCGAGAAGTATCTAGTAAATTATCGTATATTGTTAGATAATCTTTAATAAATAGAAAGTGTTTATTATTTAATTTTATATCATAACCAACTAAGTATGTTCTGACAATGTATATTGGAAAGGGAAATGAAAATTTTAACAATCGTGTGTTCATAAATCAGCTGTAAATTATCAGTTCATGTAGACAGTATTACAATCGCAAAGTGAGCTGAGATGATGATAAATGGGATAATTGACAACAACTAAATAATTGTATGTAAGTTTATCTCATCTGATATGTAACTTAAGAGATTCATTGTATTACTGAAAAACTTTCAGTCAAAACAGTGCTTCTTTCTGTCTTTGAATTTGAGTGTCTGCTTTATTTTGATTTTTCTTAATTATTGTTTTTGTCATTTGTTTTAATTAATTTAAAACAATACTGAAAATGATATTGGGCTACTATAACTATTTCACATGATGGGTGTGTAATTAGCATCGCGCTACACCCGGGGTTTCCATTTTTGAGGATGAGGCTAGTGGTTTTCTGCACTGAGGAATCCCCTTGGGCTATTAGGAATTTTAAAATACACATGTAATACATGAAAAGCACCACCAGTATTTTCACTCTTTTTTGCTATTAAATTCCCTAATATGGAAATATTCCAGACAGCATGCTCATATTATCCATAAATCTCCACAACTGCATCCATTTTGCAGTACTACAAGACTGATTTACCTAAAAACGATTTTTTATTTCCTAATTTGAATTCCCCCTTTCCTTTGTTTAATATAGCAATATTTGCTTGTACATATATGCCTCACCGATATCTCATTATTAAATTATATACATTCACTCAATCAGCTCAATGATAAGTGTCATGCAATTATGTAGCGTTTTTTTAAAGCCATGCAAATATGGCGTAACTGATCAAAAAATATATTTTTGAAAAATACAAAATTTAGTAAAGAAATATAGTTAATACATTTAAATTAAAGCTTTTCATACAATTCGGAGCACGGAGAACACCCCGTTTTATCTAATAATACGATTTTATCTTCTCTGTAATGTGTTATTTAAATCTTTTGTATTTTCTTCCAAGTCGGAGAAAATTCCGAGAATCCAAATTAAATTTTGATATCTTTATAACGCAATTGACTTAGATTTTGTAATTTACGGAACATTTCTATCTTTATCATGTTTATATAAAGTAATGATACAAATAATAAGTTCTTATAATTTTAGTCTAATAATTTTCATTGTACATACGCCATTTATGGCTTTAAATGATTCAAGATGAAAGCAAAATGATTTTTGCTTCGTTTTAATTAGACGAACTAGTGAATGACCACAAAAGGAATATTTAAAATCTTTTTTTCATTTTTTTAAATCATTAATTTATATATGATTAAATTTTACTAGCGAAAATTAAATTAAACTTTAATTTTAAAAGAATCATCTGTAGTTAATACCCAGGGGCCCGTTTCATCAAAGGTCGTACGCCCAGTCGTAGCGCTACGCCGGCGTAAACTCGGGACTAGCACGAATATTTGCATTTCATTAAAGAGCGTATCGTTACGCCTGACTAAATTTAGGCCAAAATTATCCGTCTACTCATGGGTAGGCGTAAGTTAGGGCGTAAAGTTAAAATAAGGCCTTTTTATTAATTTTAGCGAGTTCTAAAGAAAAAGTAAGGTTCTAAGAAGAATTTAAAATACAAACAATGCATTATTTAATTACACATATTATGAAGAGGGGGAGGGGGGAGGGGGGGTGTTGTTACAACTACTTGGGGACGTAGTTGATTTGAGTAATAACGTACTCAAATAATATTTTGATAAATTTCTGCTGAGAAGAAAAGATTGTCTTATTAGAGATTTCTTACGTTTTGACAATGCATTCATACACATTTGATCGTGGTATTGTATGTCTAAGGTATTGTAAATCAATTTACATATATAACTGTATTTCTACACCCCGCTTGAAAATGTATATGTACATGTATATACTATTTAGTAATCGGGATATCCGTCCGTCCATCTGTTACGCTTTGGGGGTACCCATCTCTATCCGCAACTCCTTTCAAATCACTGATTGAAATTTGGTGAAATTTTCACAGAATCTTTTTTATATATTGCCATTGTGCCTTATTGTACTTTTTGATCCAACGCATATTTGGGTTTCCCACAGCAAAACATGGACACTGCCATTATATTTATATGGAAGGCGGGGGGATATCTTTTATTGAACTCATTGCTTACGGTACCTCCAGTTTCTTTTTCATTTACTAAAAAGAGACCCATTAAACATGTTAAAATTGTCTATTTTGAAAAATATTTTCCAACAGCATATTTTCTGAAAAACAAAAATTACAAAAAAAAAAAAAAAAAAAAAAAAAATCGGTTTCAAAAGCATAGTTATCATCTTTCATGTAATTTTCTACATTTAAGAAAAAAATTCAAAAACATAACCCATCTTAAAACCAAACAGTTTTTGTCATGTTTGAAGAGTCCATTTCTTATTTACTTCTCGTCCACATGCGTGGATCCAGAGGGGGTCGGAGAGAGGGTTCAGAATCTCCCGAATTTGTAGATTAATGAACATTGAATGTACAGATTACTTACTTAAGGACGAAAGTAATTATTTTCCTAGGTATCTGGGACAAGTGATGTTCCCGGCGAATCATAGACCCCAACCCAGGGAGGGGGTTAGGGTCTCATAGACAATAAGAGATTTTTGAAAGTGGTAATAAATTATTGCTTTTATAATATCGATGTAAGACGGTGATAATTACACAGTTAAGTTCAAGAATGAATTATTCCTATTTTTTTTTTTCTCAGACAAACATTGATGCAGAAGACATCTTTAATTTTCATAATTTTGTTTAAAAGAGCAAATCTTACATAGTATAAGATAATCTGAGCGCATATAAAGCACATATAAGATGAAAATATACATGTTTTTGATTTACTGCATTACTTACATTTTAATGAAAACAAAATAAAGAGTAGCTGTAACTAAATTTTAAAGACAGAGACCACACAAGCAGAGAATTTTTGTAAGAATATCTTTGTACCGTAGTCATTTTTCCAAACCACTCTCTCTCTCTCTCTCTCTGCGTACTTTTAAAACGGTACATCACATTTAATCTGCAGATAGTAAAGAATTTTTTTCTATAACTGAACAATTATGAATCAACTGAATTGACAAAAAATTAATAAATACAGAGAGGATTATCTTACATGTACCATAGCAGTAAACGTGTAAAATTTATTTCTTGACTCCAAATGTGTTAATATGTAAACCGTTTGCATTTTGTTTTCATTATTTTTGCTTGCCTATACATTTCTTATTAAAATTTTTAAATCTTATTCTGCCTCAAACTTAATTATTAGTATTTGTCAGTAGAATTAGTATTTATCGAATCATGAAATTTATTAACAAAGGCGAAGTTATTAACCTGTATCAATTTCGGGAAGAGGGGGTATGGCTGTAATTAAATTTCCAAAATGAATAGTTTTGCTTAATTCCGAAATACAAGTACATGTACTGTCCTTTTCATCCTTTCAATTTATTATACTTTTATTATTGAAATGTTGTAAAAAAACTAAAATTGGTTTCTTAAAAGATGCATGTCTCTTACATAACACTATAAACCCATGCATGTTTCAATTAGTGCAAGTATTAATTTATCTATAACTTGTGTTATTCTGTATTTTGACGTGCTACAATTTATACATGTTTGTACGCTTTGGGCAATGTTTATGTTTTTGCGCCTGCGCAATGCAACGTTGTCAAGGACTTAGTCTTGTGACTAAGCGTATCTTTTACGACTAGACTTACGCCACTTGGTGAAACGCAAATTACGCCCGACTAAATTTTTGCGTAATCCCCGGAAGTACGCCTAAGTTAAGGCTTAACTTTACTACTTTTGATGAAACGGGCCCCTGACTTTTTTCACAATGAACTTTTTTTCATTGTTACTTTTTAATTTTTGCCTCTATATTTGGGCTTGTCACTTTTTACTCGGGGATAGTAACTTTATTGCCACAAAGCTGTGGATTAGTACTTGATTTTCTTTATTGCACAGCGATGACTATGATTTAATAGCACAAAAAGTTAATGGGTTTACGTATGTGAATTTATATGATTAATGCTTACTTGTGATTTTAGGATAACTGGAGATAATGATTCCTTTTTTCCATTGATATTACATAAATATTTTCCTAAGTATTATGTTACAATAAATTGGTTTAGATTTTTTTTTATAAAAGTAATCAATAATTACAATGGAAATTAAAACCATAATCATGTTCATTGAGGATTTTCAATATGTAACAGGTCAAACAGGAACTTCAATTGTGAACATGGCAGAGAACACACCCATCAGAAGATGACCCTCAGAAATAGGACAATTGTAAGTAATCAGTAAAATGAACAGGAATACTTCATGCCAACCATAAGATTTTTAGAGACATTTTCACTTCTTAAATTAGAAGAGATAGAGGGAAAAACTTGTACATACTACATAACTACTAGGCAACCAACCTTTAACTGCAGGAAAGCTTTTGGTATGTGCAATACAGCTACATAAAACCTCTTTAGTATTCATGTTAAGTTTGAGAAAGTACCTTAGTATTTTTTCTAGTGTTTGCCAACATTTCCATGCACACTGTTTGCTTGTTTGTACTATCATTTTATTTTAAATTCTTCAGATGCCCTTTACCTTTGCCAGTTTAGAATCATTTGTTTTAAGGGCATCTGAGGGTTGGTTCCAGAACTTAATTAATTGTAAAGTAAATACTGGGGTACTATACGGTCATAGGTTATGTTCATACATGTATAACGTTTTGTTCTGATAGAAGTGGCATACAGGAAAAGAAACAATACTAGATATCACTTCAAAGGAATAAAACAGCTTCATCTTGTAGGTGTATTTTATTTAAGGATCACTATTTCATGTCTGATGTGCTGAAAATTATTCATAATCTGTTTGACTGTAATTTTTCATATTTTCAACTTCTATCCAGCTTAGTCAATTTTAATTAAATTTTGTGCAAAGCATACCCCAGGAAGGGGGGATGCAGTGTCAAGTGTGTCTCTGTCCCTGTCAATATAATTTCAAAGCAGTTAGTAGGGTTTGGGTCAATTTTAAATCCTCTTTAGCAGAACCATTGGGCTAAAAACAATACTAATGTGAAAGCTTCATAATTAAGTGTAGAGATGTTTTTGAAGATTATGTACCCCTAATGTACTGATAGTGTTACATTAGAAGTCTAAAATTTGCAAGGAATAGGTGTAAAATCTTTTTAAAATCTCCTTCTTAACAATCAGAAACTAATATACTGTCTAATCAATATGCAACATCGTTTTGTGTGTTGAATGATGATTCCATTTTGATAAAATTATGGCGGATGGGGGGTAGGATGAAGATGCAGTTAGACATAGAAGAAAAAAAAGAGTTGATAGAATTTAGTTTTTCTTCCATTTTATTTATCAATACATATTTCTGAATAAGAAATATACTTCTACTTCTTGGTTGGGTTTGATCAACATAAAGGGTGATCTTGCTGTAGAGTAGTCAAGAAAAACATGTTTTATACGGCAAAGAAATGCCTTTATCTAATTGCAGAATGAATAAAATGGACAGAGGCAGAACTGAAGGAGATGCATGAAATGAGGAATATTTCAAAGATTGCCTGAGCATAACCACTGCTATTGGATAAACATATGGCAGTATAAAAGAGCAGGGTCAATGGAGGTATCATACAGTATAGGCCATGAGAGACCCTGAAGAAGAAAGAAACAAAAATAAAACCATTTTGACATTTATTGAAATATAGGATCAAAGTCTTACATGTAAAATTTAAGCATGTATTGACTTTTCTCTAGCTCTAAGACTTATAACAGTGATGATTTGATTTAATATCTTGATCCCGATTTGTCGAAAAGATTTGGACATAGTGCTTCAATTATTTTAAAGTTTTGATACAACGAATTCATTCATTGTACTTGTAAGTGAGTTTTCTGGTGCGACACTGTTTTATCGGCTTCAAAACTAAGGTTGTGATTTCCAAATCAGATTAATGATATCAAGTAATATCTTTTAACATCGGTGACTATTTAATCCATTCTTTTACATCTCAGAAGTATTTTTATTATTACAGGGAAAATATGCATTGTACATGTATCTGTAATAAACAGGATTATAGAAATTTTCCATATGATACAACACAATCTTAGTAAGTGAAGGCAAATATTTTATCAAGGGTGTGATCTATTTATCAATATGGTTTTCAGCATCTTGCTCTACCTGTAATGACTTCCTCCAAGTTCAAATATTTAAATTTTAAATTTTGCAAACATGGTTATAAAATTCTCTAAAAGCCAAATAGTTTAGGCACAAAATGCTTATATATTTCCTTTCATTTGTAAAGTGTACACTGAATGAGATGTGGAATGTTAGAATTAAAGTATTAAATATGTTTTGGACTTATGTATGCTTATGCAGATAAATTTGAATTCAACTAGGGAAGGTAAATGTCATACTTATTGGGTTTGCAATCTAATGCAAGAGTATAAATTTGACAATTTTAATGAAGGGTATAAGTAACCCAAGAAGAATTGGACAGGTAAACATCACCTGTTGGGTTTTATTCTAATGTTGGGATGTAATATCCAAGAAGAGTTGAACCAATGTCCAATACCTATTGGGTTTTCTTCCTTATGAAAAAAAGTTGAGTAACCCAAGAAGAATGTCCAATACCTTTTAGTTTATATTCTATTGAAGGGATGAAGATATCCAAGAGGAATTGGACAGGTGTCCATTACATGTTGGGTAGTATTCTGATGAGGGGATTCTCAAGAAACCCAAGAATTAGACAAGTGTCCATTGCCTGTTGGGTGGGATGTAGATATCCAAGAGGAATTGGACGGATGTCCATTACCTGTTGGATGGTATTCTAATGAAACAATTCAAGAAACCCAAGAAGAATTGGACAAGTGTCCATTACTTGTTGGGTGAGATGTAGATATCCAAGAGGAGTTGGACAGCTGTCCATTACCTGTTGGGTGGTATTCTGATGAAACAATTCAAGAAACCCAAGAAGAATTGGACAAGTGTCCATTACCTGTTGGGTGGGATGTAGATATCCAAGAGGAGTTGGACAGGTGTCCATTACCTGTTGGGTTGTATTTTATGAGGAGATTCAAGAAACCCAAGAATTAGACAAGTGTCCATTGCCTGTTGGGTGGGATGTAGATATCCAAGAGGAGTTGAACAGATGTCCATTACCTGTTGGGTGGTATTCTGATGAAACAATTCAAGAAACCCAAGAAGAATTGGACAAGTGTCCATTACCTGTTGGGTGGGATGTAGATATCCAAGAGGAGTTGGACAGGTGTCCATTACCTGTTGGGTTGTATTTTGATGAGGAGATTCAAGAAACCCAAATAGAATTGGACAATGTACACATGTTCAATTGTTCTTGGGTAGTTTAATCCCTTCGTCAAAATACAACCCAACAGGTATAGGACACCTGTCCAATGCCTGTTGGATACCTTCATTCAGTCCAACATGTAATGGGCATTTGCTTATTATTAATTGGTCATGACTCAAAAAGGTTTCTCCTTAAATACTTAATTTTGTTATTCAAGAAAGGTTGAACAGAGTCTGAGATGTGTTGAGTTGTGTTTTCACAATTCAGTTTTTTTGCACTTAGGTATTCATATATTTTAATATTAGTTATTCTGAAATATACAGGTGTATATCTTTATTGCTAAGAACAAATTAGTAAGGTGTTACAATAAAAGAGCTACAGTACCGACCGGACACAACCTAACACCAGAGCGAACCCGGAGCGGACCCCAGGTTCGCTTCCCGGGTTCGCTCGGGGTCCGCTTCGGGTTCGCTTTCAGAAATTTGGGGACCGCTCCGGGTGCGCTTTGGGTGCGCTACGGGTTCGCTCCGCGTTCGCTCGGGGTCAGCTCTGGGTCCGCTATAGCGAACCCGGTGTTCGCTTCCTGGGACCGCTTTACGCACTGATGCGTGAAGCGGACCCCGCTTTAATCTCACCGCCAGTAAGCCCCGCCCCTTGTATATTCCAATACAGTAATGGTATTGTGGATCGATCATTGTTGTTTATGCGACGATGCGGACATGTACACTGAACATTTAAACAGTGATATAATGGAGAACATTGATAATTTTTTCTTAAATTCAACTGTACATTCGACATAGATTTACATGTACATGAATAATTATTTCCTTGATTTCTCGATCCCGAGAAATTCAAACTAATTTTACAGCGGGTTATAAGGCATTTATTTTTCTTAAGTTATAACCAGAAAACAAAAAAGAGTGTTAAATTGATTTCAGTATCGAATGGTGTACAAGTGAAACTGAATAACTAAATATCTTTTAAATTCATGCTTATATAGTTAAAAAAGCATTAATTTGTTATTCCTTACGTTTTGCTAAATCGTAGTTTAAATGTTTGCTAAACACCTGAATTATGATATCGCATCTATAAGTTACATGCAACCTTTTGTACATCTGGTATATTTACATTTCATTTATTATTATTGTAGTTACACATTAAAAGTTCGTAAAAATATGAACGTGAATTAGACCCAATGCCTGCTGATACACGTGTACTTAAAAAGATTATTCTTTCAATTAAGTGTAACTCTACAGTTATTTTGCGTTACTAACTCTCGAACAACCCACATAACTATGTATTGCTTACGCCTTTATTAATTATTTTTTCCCAATAATTAGTCCTAAAACATTTTAAAATGTATAATAGATCATAATTCATATGTTAAAATATCCCATCTATATTATTTTTATCTGATTATTCTTTGTCAAGTATAGTTACGCCATTTTGAAAGAATGAAACAATGTACGATTTACTAAATGCTGTGATTAATTAGCGTAATTAATTCGTTCAATTATGTAAATCGCACTTCACCTGAGTATACCCTGATAAACCAGACTTATTTCAGAGCGGTCCGGATTTCTTTCTTAAATAGTGTTTATATATATTTCCAATTCAACATGTAACTATGTAAATATATAGTGTTTATAGTGCTAGTTGTTTTTGGTTTCTCTTTTTCCTTTGATCTTATGACTTTTTAACTTTTTTTCTTTGTCCCGCGGAAGGGACAGAGCGTCCCGAAAACTGTTGGTGATTCTTAGTGCTTTATATACATTTTCCTATACATGTATATTAAAAAATAATAGCTGCAGCAGGCTTATAGAAAACAATTTGAGTACAATATTGGGAGGAGGACTCATAGAAATTTAAGTAAGTCATCAGGCTTTATTATTAAAATCAAGTCTAATAATGATAGTTTACAGTTATGATCTCTCTCGTCTCGATGTTTCCTGTATCTATTTATATTTAAATATTGGGCTAGTTAATATTCCTAAACTGTTAGTATCTTGAGAAAATGAAATTTTACAATAATTGTCGAAGACCAACTATTTCTTTTCTCCTCTTTTTGTCAGTAAAATATTAATTGCAATATCAATTGATTTCCATTTTTATGCATTGACTGATGTATTTACCCAATTTATTTACCAAATGGACTTTCATTACTGGTATAAAAAACTAAAGGAAATAAAAACGTAAATTTTCATGTGTAATTCTACGTGGAAAATTAAAACATATAATTAATTAATTGCTTTAATAAAATAAAGGAAGTAAATATATAAATATAAAATACAACCCGGAGAATGAAAATAAATAATATCAAATCGTATTTTAATCATCATAATAGATTTACACAGCACATTAACACGGTTTGTTTGTATGTAGTATTTTGATTTATATCAAATTAAATCAACACGTTCGATCTTATATCCCAATCGACAGATCAATATGCTATTTTGATTGGTTGACCTGATTGGTTAATCGCTAATCCTGATTGACAGCTCCGTAAAGAAATACCGAACCCGCGTTCGCTCGCTGGGACCGCTACTGAATTTGGGGTTCGCTCTCTGGGTCCGCCTCGGGTTCGCTCGGGGTCCGCTACGGGTTCGCTTTGGGTGCACTACGGGTTCGCTCCGGGTCAGCCCTAGTGGACCCCGAGCGAACCCGGAGCGGACCCAGAGAGCGAACCCGGGGTCCGCTCCGGGTTCGCTTTCTGTTAGGTTGTGTCCGGTCGGTACTGTATATCACAGAAATTGACAAAAATATGGGTTCAAAACCAAAGGTTTTCAGTCTTGCCTGAATTTACCAGCAAATATTAAATATATAATAAATTTGAAATGAATCAAAAACAATAAGAAAAAACCCAATAAAATACGGACACGAGGATTAATATCCAATAAGATTTGAACAGTAACTACCCAAATAATGCTCTCTCGTGTGTACACTTTTTTTGTATCCAATAAGCAGTATCCAATAGGACTTGGACTTGATGTACCCAATATATAACCAAATGTGTGTCTGTCCGTCTGTCTGTCTGTCTGTCTGTTAACTTTTCACATTTTTGACTTCTTCTCAAGAACCGCTGGGCCAATTTCAACCAAACTTGCCATAAAGCATACTTGGATGAAGGGGATTCAAGTTTGTTCAAATGAAGGGCCACACCCTTATTCAAGGGAAGATAATTGGGAATTAATGAAAATTTGGTGGTATGTTTTAAAAATTTTCTTCTCAAGAACCACTGCGCCAGGAATGATGAAACTTATGGGAAAACATCCTCAGGTAGTGTAGATTCAAGTTGGTTCAAATCATGACCCCTGGGGGTAGGGCGGAGCCAAAATGGCCGACCAAAGTTTTACATAGAAATATATTGGAAAATTATT